TAGCCTTAGGTTTAGGTTATTTCTTAGTGATTAGCGTAATGTTTTCTTCATATTTATGCATATCAGAAATTTGGGCTCAATTAAACCTTGCTTAGGTTCTTTATGAATATCTCACATCTTATCTAGGTTGTTATATGGTTAACATATCTGGTTTATAAGTTCATTCAATTCTAAATAGGAAACGAGTGTAAGTAAAGTTGTATGATCCATGAAAATTCCATGGTAAAAATACATTTATATTCTCTTCGAAATAACGTTAATTTCTTATTAAAGTGTGATAGTCGTAAAAATCTTGTATCACTTGTATAAGGTAAAAAATAAAAATAAATTAGCCGTAGATTAAACGTGAGATTCCTTTATATTGCTTTTACAATCAAAATAAGGTAAACCGAGCCATGGCTCGGTCCCCCGATACTGATATGTTAGGTATTTAAGGGAGGATGGTGCATTTATACGGGGAGTTTTGGAAGGCAATGTAGACCAAACGGAAACCAGCTGGTGATGTCTGACCTCTGAATATTAATTATCATGTGGTGACTGTGACTGGAACTGCCACACTGGTGATATTGTCAGATACCAACCATTTGTAGCGTAGGGGATATAAATCTACACAAACAGTTGCAAAATAATCTACAAGGATTCGTCTTGACATAAAATGGTTGACTAAACTAAAAAAAATACATCAAATACAATATACTTTTAAACCTAATTTAAATTAGGTTTATAGGGTTAAATTAGGGTTTAAATTAGGGTTATAGTTTGCTTTTATGTAAAAAATACCATAAGAAGGTAACATTTATAACTTCGTGTTTAAAATTTTACATTTACATGAATTCAAAATAAACAATCCATAAAAAGTTGTTACAAGATAAAAAGATGCAAGATAAAAAGGTGATAAAGAGGGTAAATGTATACAGATTTGTTATTAGGTGTATACAGATATGTTTGTATTATAAACAAATTAAAATCATTCATACATTTACCTTTGTGTAAGTGTTTGAGTGAATGTTACATGTAAAACAGTTTAAAGGACGTATTTAACTGTATTTGTTAACTGTAAACCGTTTGACTGTACATTACATTCATAAAGTTGCACAAGATATGTCAATCTATCGTAGACTCATATTTGAGTTAAAATATGCTCAGTTGAATTCTCATCCCAACTAATGGTTAATATAAAAAGAAACAAAATAAAGTAAGTCCTTTTATCTTGTCACCGATTCCGAATTCTTGCTTTATATAATTGGATGTAACTTATTAAAAGTATAATCGAATTCCAAGATTTTCTTCATTTTGGAAACTTCTCCGGATCAATAATCACAATTATTGAGAATAAGATGGGGAAAAGGAAAAATATAAATAACAGACAAGGACAAGTAGCTAAATAGAGGATTTCGAGTGTCCTTCTAATGGAAGCAGTGGACCTGAAGTAATGTTGGCAATAACTGCCGAGTGAAAGGATTTAATAAGATTGGAACAGAGAGCACAACCCTCGGATCGAAACAGGATTCGAGGAACCCAACTCCTTACCAAGGAGAAAATAGGCTGTTTACTTTCCGATTCCTTTCATTTCCTATAAAGCCCTGATACGTTTCAAGCTCAATTGTTCGACCCTACAACAAAATAGGTCATGATAAGATTACCTGACTTGAAGTTATAATTTATCGTTGTATTACTAAATTACCAGATTCATTTAACATTTTGCTATTCTAATTACTCTTTATACGTGTTATATTTCTAGATATACATCTAAAGCCTTTAAGAGATGACCTTGAATGCGTATAGCATTGCATACAGTAAACCTCCTTCCGTACAAACACAAATGTTATTCTGTTGTGTCTTATGACTTTTTAACAGGTACGTTACAAAAGGACTAGCAATTAAAAAGTTTTAACAGTGTTTCGTTGTTTTATTTGGAACTTTGGCTGTCATTCATATACTGTGACAATGTTATTAAGCATGAGGTTCAAAACACACACTATAATAATAACGCCAAAATAGGCCTGTCTATGGCCTATCTCAAGAGCTGTGATATTTGAAATTTTGGATTTGCTTCTATGATATGGCTTATAGTACCTTAGAGGCTAGTTTTGGTTTGTTTCCAACGAAATGGTCGTACGATCAATAGTTCTTAATTTCGGCTAAACAGAAGGCGCATTGTTTCCTAAGAAATAAGCAATTGGAGAACCCTTTAGCTGCTAGCTTTCATTATTAGCTCCAAGTGATAAGCTTTCATAACTTTGAATAAGCACGAATATTTAGTGTTCTTCTTTCAAATACTATGACTAATAAAACGAAACAAATAATAAAATAAATTTAAATAGAATAATTTAAACTGGATCCCATTAACTGGAACCACAGAAAGGGAAGTCACAATACCATGTGGAATATTTATTTTAACCTGTTCATACTATTGATATGATAAATAACCGAATGCAATATAGCTTCTCTTATTTTGGCCTGCATTTATTTTTGTTTGTGATTAGGTACTTCATTTTGTCCACACTTGCTCGAACCATGATTGTTTACCTTTTAATTTCATTATCATTAACTTGTCTTTTAACTAAATATATTATTATTGTAACTTTTTTTACTTCGTTTATACGTCCACTGCAGTAGTCAGAGAGTTTCTGTTTTATTATAATAAATACTTACAGGAGTATTGTAAATATTTTTGTTGAGGTATTGTAAATAGTTTTACTGTCAAAATAAATAAAGGAACGTCGTTTGGAAGAGGTGAACAAGATATAACAGTAGAAAAAATACATATTCTTTTATTTAAGAAAATGTTTTCATTACAAATCATAAACGATCGTTGAAATAATAACAACTCTGCAATGTGAAATGTGATATATACTAAACATTGAAGCATTATGATCTTACTTGAAGTTAAAGCTGTTCACTTTTCATGTTTATTTATGAGAACAGATGAAAAATATAAAGTAAAGAAAATCTTATAGTTTCTAAATGGCTCTCTTTAGTTTTCATTAATGTAACCCAAAGTTTTCATTCCATGGTGGTATATTTCGTGACGAAAAGTGTTCGCATGTGAGCTTTTTCAAATCATTAACTTGAGATTCAGATCCTTCATTAGGGTATGGAAATTAGTTTTTATGTCAATAAAAGTTCCTGATTTAATTCTTTTACATTGATTTTTTAAAGTAATTAGCTTACATTTCTTTCTGATTCTGTGATTTTACCAAACTAAAACTCCATAAGTCCAGTGCAACGTATTTTAGTTACCAAGGAGTTTGTTCAGCAACATTTAAAGTTCCCTGCAATACTGAACCACCAATATATTCGTTAGCTCCAAAATGCTATATTCCTTACATTATAGCATAGTTCAATAAATAATTCGGGTTAGCAAATCCACAAACAATAAGACATTACTATATCAAGGTATCCGGATATAAAAAAGGATACCTGGGTTTCCGTTTTGGGAAGCTTCCGTTTTGGGAGCTTACTAGCTCTATCGAAATAATCATTAGTGTACTCTAAAGAATAGTATTTGCTCAACTATAGGTATAATTGCTTCAAAATATCAATTAAAAAATAATTGTGTTTATTTTATTTTGATTTTATAAAATAAATTCGTTTGGTGTAGCTTATTAAGAACTGTGAGGTTGGATATCCATATCAAAGGGGTGTTCTGGGTATATTTAAACCCAGCGGTCGGCCACCGCGAATATCGGATTTCTCGCCCAAAACGAAATTCTGTTATGAACACTTTATAACAACAAAGAACTACGTTACTTTACATTCTATCGGGTGACATTAACCGTACTTTTAATCTTTTGGAGCAAAATTTAGTTTGACCATACATCACAAAGGTTTGGATAATTTCAGCAAAATACAGATTGAATGGATCTCCAATGAATGTTTCAGGGGTTATGGAGAGCTGGCCGGAGAGTGATCCTCCATTGATGTTTCCGGTTATTATTCAGTATCAGGTTTTCTTGGCAAGAATCGATGATACAAATTGTTGGTGGTATTAGATAAATAGTGTCCTCATTAGCTCTGGAACTGGTTGTATAACACTTACAAGGGAGAAAAGCGTGAGATACTAGTACAAAACTGAACCATGCATAATCTTGTATTTAAATTGAAGCTTTGCAATTTGAAATAAAAATCACACCAGTTTTATCAAAAATCCTCTGTGCTATTTTTAAGGCTTGGCGTTCAAACCTAACCCATAATAACTTCACTTAACAACATCATACACCATCTGCATTCTTCAACGCTCTAGTAGTCTTCCTTTTTCAAGTGTTGGACAACCAATCCCAGGTTAACGCTAGACAGCCAGATCCATCTTGACCTGGTATTGGTGCTGGGACTGATGTCCGTCACGTGTTCCTGGGATGAAGAAGGGATGAGAGATGACTTTCTGTTCTTGACAGTCAACCAAGCCAACTCTGAAGAGAAACTTGTAAATGTTGAAAAACTGAAATAATGCTTTAGAAAGACTAAAAGAGACTCAATGGATGTTTCAGGGATGGTGAAGGGCTGAGATGGAGAGTATTCTGGTGGTGAAGGCGGTTGCCCAAGCAAACCCTGTAGAGGAACACTGCTATAATGTTGTAGAAAGACTAAAAGAGACTCAATGGATGTTTCAGGGATGGTGAAGGGCTGAGATGGAGAGTATTCTGGTGGTGGTGGTGGTGATGGCGGTCGCCCAAGCAAACCCTGTAGTGGAATACTGCTATAATGTTGTAGAAAGTCTAACGGAGCCTAAATGGATGTTTCAGGGATGGTGAAGGGCTGAGATGGAGAGTATTCTGGTGGTGATGGCGGTTGCCCAAGCAAACCCTGTAGAGGAACACTGCTATAATGTTGTAGAAAGACTAAAAGAGACTCAATGGATGTTTCAGGGATGGTGAAGGGCTGAGATGGAGAGTATTCTGGTGGTGGTGGTGGTGATGGTGGTCGCCCAAGCAAACCCTGTAGTGGAATACTGCTATAATGATGTAGAAAGTCTAACGGAGCCTAAATGGATGTTTCAGGGATGGTGAAGGGCTGAGATGGAGAGTATTCTGGTGGCGATGGCGGTGATGGCGGTCGCCCAAGCCAACCCTGAAGCCAAGCGTCTCTACGACGACCTGCTGAGCAACTACAACAGGCTGATACGACCCGTTGGCAACAACTCGGACAGGTTGACTGTCAAACTGGGCCTCAAACTCTCCCAGCTTATTGATGTGGTAAGTTAAGCTATTAACGAGTCTTTTATTAACTTTAGGCCTTAAGAATTTTTAATATGTGTATTAGGCATCATAGTCGTGGTAAGGGAAAGGCAATATTATAAGTCTATCCCAATTGTTTGAAATGGATACTTTCCAACTGTCAATGCACTAGTGTTACTTGTTAAATCTTTGAGTAATCAAGAGAATTTTAGAGAGATAAATATAATAAACTACGCCAAAAAGCTACCTTCTTCGTATACGACCGAGACTTTTACAGTCTGACTCATTTACTTGCGACGATATAAATTGATAATACTATCAACCTCAAAAAACTATCCAAAACATTATCCCGACACCTTGTAATCGCGTTGGTGCTGTTTAAACATTATTTATGTTATTGGTCACGAAAAAAACAATATTTATCATTGTGAAAATCATCGAAACATTAAATAAATTATAAATCTAGTATTTTATTACCTATTAAGTAGGTGTATTTACTAATTTTTCGTTAAAGTATGGGTGAATAAGAAATCTAATTATATTACACTTCCAAATGAGAAATTTTGTGATGTTACGGTTTCATGAGATAAAAAGTTAGAGTATTTAGTGTTTGTACAAAAATAATTCATCACAATATAGAATATATCTTTTGTTCATTACATACTAATTAGCATTTTATGATCAAAATCTGCAATCTATAGCCAGAATTGTGTAAGATATTCAGGATATCCAACAGGATACACATGCGAGGACTTGTAACAGTATAAATGACGCTTAGATTGCTGACTCGACAGTAGCTGTATAACGCTTGGTCAGCGATACGTGGCTACCAGCCAGTGGTTCGTATGAATATTGATACTGTGCAGTTTGTATTTACACACAGTAACCACGTTTGGTTCATCCGCTTTCAAGCCAGTTTACTAATTATTTCATCCAATAGAAGCTTTGTAGTTTAGTTGGCCATGAGAACTACAAACTTTTGTATGGGTGATTTTACTCTACATCCTCTAAAGGCAAACACAATTCAGAACATTTTGAAAATAAAACCCATTCAGAGTTAACAATTCTCGGACGTGTCATGTAGCCATACAGTCAAGTGCTCCGCCGAGACCGCTCATGAGAAGTAGTTTGACACTGGCGGAGAAATATCAAGCTATCCATTGGTTCCGAGAAACGTTTCACTCTTTTCAATTCCGTTTTGCTTCGATATATACGAGTATATTTCTCCTCGGAAACGCTTATTGGATTTTGTTACTACAAAACATTCTCACAAGAAAAAGAAGGTGAGGTTTAGAGGGGTTTGAATACTGATGAAAAGTGTTATGGGTTTATTTCACAAGTAAGACTGTGTTGTAAGTATAGACAAGTGAAGTTGCTAAAATACGTTGTATTATATTACAAAGATTCAATATTACATGTATGGCTAAATTTAAATCACGGTAATCGAAGTTCAATCGGACTACAATGGATAACACTCAAAAGAAACTAAACAATTGCTGACAATTAAATGAGTAACAATAAGTATTTGAGGAGAGTGATTACATACGAGAGAAAAGTCTCACCCACTATTTCCGTAAGTAACCCTCCCAATAAGTAGTTCATTCAAGTACCCTCTTTTTGAATAAACATTTTGTTGTAGCCAGTCTATATCAATACAGAAGTTTATTATCAAAAGGCCAATGTAAGCCTGAATGATCAATTTTCAATTAATGAGATGTATAACTAAATTTAAATGTCCAAAAAAGGCCAATATATAATATTTGTTTTAATTCACAAGCTCTTTCGGATACTAGGTTTCCATCGTCAGGCTGTGTTTAAACTAGTACGAAAATTAAATATTTACTTAATTTTAATTAAAGTTCAATCAAATTATGTAAAAGATATTGGAAAAATGAAAAAAAAATATTAGAAAAAATATCTTTATAATTTTGAATATATTACAGAGTTGTTCTTGTTGTATAATTATTTTATGTAATTCCGAGTCATTAATTGGGTGCAGTGAAAGACTGAAAGATCATGAATGTGTAGTGTCTTTTGATGTAGTTGGACTCTACCCAAATGTACCAATAGAAGTCACTTCAGGGGCCCTATTTTTGAAATTGTTGACAGTTGAGTCAATTGTCAATACTCAACTCAACCAACAACAGGATTTGGTATTTTTGAAATCGAACAGTTGAGAAGTGAGTTAAGAATCACTAGTTGAGTGACTCGTTTAGGAAATGAAGGCATATGACCGCACGAAATTCAGATGACTTCATTTTGAACCAATCACAATGCCGAGTTCTTGCGATCTTCGATCTAACCTCTTACTCTAAAATCTGGTTCCTTTTATCAGCTAATCTCAATCTATCATATTTTGAGGCACTGAGGTAAACTGTCAACTCCATCCATAAGAGATTGAGGTTATGTCTTAATCTTAGTGATTGCAAAAGTACCTTGTATAAGTATTCAAAATAAAATTTACTATATGCTAAATGCTTGTTTTAGGCTGTAGCTCATTATAGGTATACTCGAAATAAATTATTTGCTTTCTTCGTCTTTATTTCAGAACACATCACCTTATTTAAGTTTCCTTCATCGTTTTGTTTCATGTTATTTTTAATTGTGTTTTTATTTAGGTTAAAGCTTAAATGGCTATTTGCCTTTGCACTGAAAGCATAACTTATCGTAACTTAAATTAATTTGATCCCTTTATTAGGTGAATTATGGTATTGAAACAAACTATGATACTGTTTCTCTTTACCACAATCTTTAATAGGTACCTTAAGTCATAGGTATATTAACAAACAATTATCTTATAATAAGTTAAATTAGTATGCCTAGTCTATTTCAAAGTATTTCAAACATACTAACAAGGATAAAACCTTTGATTAAATAGTCTAGTATTGACACAGTAAATAAAATAAAAATGCAATTTACTCTACAGAAAACAATCGCACAAAGTATTGGGTGCTAACGCTAAGACATTGACAACAAATATATAACCTCTAAATCGCAATTAGGAAATGAAAGCAATAACAATATGGCGTCGACTCAAAAAGAGCAATTTTTTGCCGAAAGAGTAAGAAGAAAGCGCAGTCAACCGTCCACTCAACAGCTATAGGTGGTGAGTAGTTTTGGTTGGATGTCGTCACACTAGTGGATGGATTTCACTGATAAATTCATTGCCATCACCATTCCCATATGTTTTAGGTAAATAAACAAGCTGGCTATTGGTAAGATTTTAATGGTAAGATCTTAGTACAACTATCCACCACTGTGACGAAGTGTTGCGCGGCCCGTGCTGCAGCATGGCCTGTTTTTTCTAGTGGGGCCTTGGACAAGTCAACCGTCAATCGTTTGAATATTACGAAACGATTGGAAATAGAATGACTCAACACTCAACTCAACAGTCAACAATTTCAAATATAGGGCCCCAGAACTGATCAAAGATTGGCTTATTTCAAATAATTTTTAAAACTAGAAGTACAAGAATACTTAAATTTGATAAACCTTTGCATGTCTCAAACAACGTTTGTTTTTCAAGATAAATTCTACTCACAAACTAATGGCACGGCAATGCGGAATCCTCTTTTATGTTTTGTCGCTGATATTTTATGAGCAAAAGATGTCGAGATCTTGGCAAAAGAATCATTACCATATTTTCCCAGAACTAGAATTTGGATTAGATACGTTGATGCTGTCTTTAACAACAACCAAGACATAAAAATATTTACCGGCCAAATCAACGGATTTTATGCAACAATAAAGTTCACGTCAGAAAAGTTTTAGTTGGAAAACTCCCATTTTTTATGTGATGGTAATGAAAGCAAAAAACCATTTCAGAAGAGGGCTGTTTTTCATTCACTAATTCATACATTACTCAATACACCTTTAACTGAAGAAAGTATTCAAAAGGAACTGAAATATATAAAAATGTAGGGACTTTTAATGGATACACTACAAAATTAATAGAGAACATTTTAAGAAAAGCCTAATTAAAAAGAGAGAAAAGTCAGAGAACTACCCACATTTCACAAAAGAAAAAAGAAAAGAAGTGGATTAGTGTAACATACAACTCAAAATTTGCAAGTAATATTAAGTGAATTTTTCAGAATTACTTAAAATAATTACAGTGCATCAAGAAAAACACTGTAATATATCCAAAATTAAAACGATTATTTTTTCTTATATTATTTTTTCATCTATTTTCCAATATCCTTTCCATCTGTTTTAACTTGATTTAAAATTAATTTATTATTAAATAAATATTTACTTTTTTTACTAGTTAAAACACAGCCTGAAGATAGAAACCTAGTTTCCGAAAGCTTTGGAAACTAATTTTCCAAACTAAACAAATTATTATATATTGACCTTTTTTGATCATTTAAATTTAGTTCTACATTTCATTAAAATAAAAATTATTCATACAGGGTTATACATTTCGTTATTAATTGCCAATATCTCCAATATAAGTTATTAAATTTACATTTTATTGACTGAAGATGTTCACTAAATATCTAGAGCTCTAAGACTAAGATTCCAACTACAGTAAAATCTGTGCTCCTGATCATGTCAAACATCAGCTTATTGGACGTGAGCAAGAGTCAATGCGACCACACCAGATGCTACACCAGGTGGAGGTTCCTCTGATAAATCAATTAAGCCACTGTTAACATCAACATGGCAGCCTGACTGATCAGTCTCACTGGGATTGATTCGTAATCGAATGTTAAAAACATAAAATGTTTAATGAAGAATTTTCACCTCCAATTACAATTATCCATCAATTTCTTGCGTTAAGATATCTACATTATATTTTCAAGTTCTAGATTTACAACAAAATTAATGTAGCCTTCAAATATGCGACATATTGGTTGGCAACGTTTAAGGTTGACAATATGACTTTAAGGTTTAATTCCTTGAATTTGATCAGGTACAGCACATGAGTATCTAAAAAATATAAAATAGAGTTACCGCATGAACGAGTAGTATCCATCCTAACATAACTGCACAACGGTTCACAAACCCCTGTGGAA